CACACACACACACACACACACACACACACACACACACACACACACACCTCATTGTCAGTGTTCTCTCCCCCACAGACACTGGCAGAAGGACTTCAGCCAGGACGTGAAGAATGGAGAAAGTATTCCCTGCTGGTTTGTCGATAATGAAGGAGCAGGCCTCATTGATGGAAGAGCCTCAGACTACATTGTGTCAGGGCTTTTTAAGACAGTTTGAATCTTAAAATTAGAATCAGAATAGCACTGGGGACAAATGGCAGATTCTCACAACTTGCGTATCATCACTCAACAATTATGCACATGCAGAGACAACCATTATTAAAACAACAGGGACAATGACATATTTATTTATAGATAATAGAAAATGACAATTTGTGATTCCAACCGGTGCAACATTTATGTTATTTTTATATAACTGTACAGTTATCTCTTAACAGTAAACTTTAAACTTCATAGCTGCACATTATTTAGCAGACATTTCTTACAAATCAGAGTAATGGCTTCAATAATACAGTCGTGAAAACTTTAGTTGTACTGTACCTAATATAGTACCAAATCAACTTCTTAACATGTCTTGGCAATAAAATAAATATTGCTCTCTGTAAAAATATTTACCTCGTGTCGCTGCAAGAGAGACACTGGATGTGTCGAGGTGAGTTCAGCATATTCGGGTGTCAAAGTTTAAGTATTTGAACTGTGGGTGTAAACCTGGTGGAATGTCATGTTCTGTCAGATATGGGGTCAAACACTCTGCGAAAGTTCAGCGTGGAGTCTCTACAATAAATTAAAAACATAAAAACAAATTACACATGCAGGGGCAGCAGTGGCTCAGGTGGTGAAGAGAGTCATCCACAAACCAGATGGTCAGTTGGTTTGATTATTCTACTCTGCATTTTGAAGTGAAGCGCAAAACATTGAACCCCAAATTGTGGTATGTATGCACAGAGTAGTGCTGTATGAATGGCTGAATGTGGCACAGTAAAGTGCTCTAAGTGGTTGATAAGAATAGAAAAGTTCAATATAGAAAAATTCCCATTGTAGATTTTCACTACAAAACAAAACAACACTCAATGTTTTTTTATGTCAGTATCTGATTTTAAAGACAAGTTGGTGCTATGTTTAGAGTGTTTCACAACAGGTACCACCCATGACATTACAAAATATGACATGTACATCAGTCTGCAAAGTCCCCTAAAGAAAATCAAGCCTCTGCATTGAACTGTACCAAAGTTGATGACTGAGAACCAAAGCTGACACTAGAGGTGAGGTGAGTTTGAAGATGGTATGGAAAACATGTTGGAGAGACCTACAGCTATGATGTAATTACCTCAACATTAATATCACATGATGAGAGAGAAGCTTTGTTTGTCAGATTATATTAATGTAGTTTTATTTTGGCCGCTGATTGTAAAGTAGGCACATGCTGAAAATAACAGCAACATTTTAGCATATTTAGCTGTAAAATGTTTAAAAAAGCTGGTGTGTATTTTTCAATCTTTTAACCAAATTTACTGCAATAGCTATAGCTAATAGATAATATTTACTTTTTCATAACAAGTTTATTAAAGATTACATCAGTGCTAGACTTAATATAACATTTAACAACTATATTCAACATTTAGATCTAACATAAAATATATAAGTGTAGTATTCATATTTAGATTTGATATTTAGATCTAGATTTAATGGTTGGATTTAGATTCAATATTTAGATATAGATTCAACATTTATATTTAGATAAAAATTCAGGTTTAAATTTAGACTTTAGAATTTTTTAGACTCAAAAATTAAGATTTAATATTAAGATGTAAATCCAATATTCAGTTTGAAAATTCAATATTTGGATTTATGTTTGACATTTAGGTTTTACATTTGATATTTACATTTAACATTAACTTTATGGGAAAACTAAATATGAGGTACACAGATATTCCCGTAAATCATAAAAATTACATTTTCATGTGGTTTATATAAAGAGGCCGTGTGAAGAGAAACACGTTGGTTGTTGTTTTGATCACAGGGGGCAGCAGTGAGCTCAGTACGACTTGTAGCACTGGACAGATGAACAAAAGAAGAAGCCGCAGAACATAATGTAATTTAGCTAATTAAGCTACACCAAGGTGAGATGTGTGCTTTATTTTTTAAAATTAATCACCAAATATTAAGTTCCATGTTTACAAGAGAAGCGACCACCAGCATGTAGACACCGGTAAACACAGCTCTGGTGAAACATCACCTTAAATAAAGAACAGTGAAGCTACCTTGTTAGCTAACTTCGCATTAATGTCAGAGGACTAGCTAAGTTTAAAACTAGCTAAAGCTAATGTTCGAAAAAGTCAACACAACAGACGCAGCACGTATAAAAAACCAGGAGTCTGAACGTGTTGTTGTGTTGTAATGACTCCACAGTGTAGCAGTGTGTGTGTGTGTGTGTTGCTGATGTAAGTCGTGTGTTTGTTGACAGGTGAGCACCCCCGCCTCACCTGAACACACAGGTGACATGTGGACACAGGTATGTTATTCTTCGCCTAACTTAATGATGACATGTAAGTACACACAACTGTGTACAGTAAGACTAGAGTACTTTCAGCTGCTGAGAGTTTAATTAGAATCCGTGCAGTTTTTTTTAATGAATGAAACCTTTGGATTGATTCTGTTTTACAAATCCAATCCAAAACGAAGACAACTTCTCGTGTATGCAACTAATTAATCCTCAGTCATGAAGATATGAATCAATTAATCAGTTTACTTTACCTTTACAAAATCAATTCAGCTTATTGTTTTCTCAAAAGAGATTTGGCCTTGTCATTATCGCTCTGATGAAAATAATAATATACATTTGCTGATGTGTTTTAAAATTAAGCATTTAGGCTAATAAAAACTCAGGGGATTTTAATTGACTGGTCTGTAATGTGTCCTTGATGCACTGTGTGGGATTGTATTTATTTTAGTTTATTTCAGCTCTTATTCATCATATATAAGTTAACACAGGGTCAGTGGTACAATGAAAAATGTTGGACAAGAAGGATGGGTCAGCTCAGCAAAGCAATAAGATCTTTGTCATAGAGAATAAAAAGTTAAAAAAGAATTAAAAAAAAGTTTGATCTCAATACATTAAAAAAAGATTATTCCTACGTAAAATCTTTTAGATTTGAACTTTTCCCCTCTGCCAATGAGGTTATGTTTTCATCGCTGTTTGTCTGTCTGTTAGCAGGATTGAGGCAAAAAATATAGAATCAGTTTCATTGAAACTTGGTGGAAGATAGGGCGTTGTGTGTTCTCTGAGTGCCCCTCTCGTTTCACTCGTGTTGTGACATCTTCCACACTCATCATTTTTATAAGAAACAGAGTATAGTCCCATGATGTAGATTCCTTCATAACTCCATGCATCTACAACCAAAATAAACCAGAACAAATGAAAATATATGTGAGGTGAGGCTAAAGGTCACATCATGCTGTCCACAATCAGAAGGAGAAAATCTGCAAGAGCAAGAAACTGAAAATAAATAATAAATATTAACAAATTATACATATCAAGCAAACTCATCAGGACAGATTTTGACAATTTTGAAAAAATAAATGATGAAAAGAAAATTACATTTAATTGCCACAAAAGATCAAGACATGGCTTGACCACTTTTATTGTTGGATTGCTGCTTTTTTTTTTCCTTAATTACTTTTGAACATTTTGATGCAGATGTTAACTTCACAGAAGGCTGCAGATTGAATTTAATCACGCTGTGTTTTTGTTTTTGTCTCGCTCTTTCCTCGTAGTCCATGAATACCATAAGAATGTGTAGTTATTGTTTGTACATTTTTTCATTTTGCAAATCTTTATTGTCAAGTAGATTTTATTTTTAGTCAAAACTGAACCCCTGTCACCTGCCTTTCTGTAAAATTCAAAGCTTAATTTTTTTTAGCTGTCTGGATGGTCAGTCTGCTGCTTTAGTTATTGTGAATGAGGCCAGTTACCGATGTTATAATCACCAACTTTTAAATTATATAGAGCTCAGAACATGGACCCTTTTATACCCTCATTTAAATGTATGCGTGTTAATGTATGCATCGGTGGTTATGTGTTGTATTTGCTCCTATGCAGTGAGCCTAGAATTTACTGTCTGTGCGTGATAAGTCCTTGTACTCTAACAACTCACCACTTCTTACTACAAGGCCGCAGCGTTTGTACTAATAGATCCAGGGCAAGTGTGTTGACCCCAGTCATGTCGGAAGTTCAGGAGTTGAGAGGGATTTTCTTAAGGGGGATCTTTGCCGAAGTGTTTGCCTGTGTGTGTGTCTGCCTCTTTGTACATGTGTGTATGTGTGTGTTTGTGTAAGCTTTGCTGATTAACACCAGATGTGCGCGGCTCAGGGTGTCGGCAGTTGCTTGAGAGGGCCCCACTGTACTCCGTTCACTCCCTGATCGTAGAAAGTGCTGCAGCACCTTCTTCTCACATGACAGACAGTAGTATCTGTGGTGTTCATCCCTTAGAACAACAGAAAGTATGAAACGCCAGATCAGTCTGAGATGTTCAATAAGGAGGTTTTGGAGCTTTTTACAGGAAGTTAATGTGGGTCTCCTGCTGCTCCACCAGAGGGCGGGAGAGAGCTGTATAACATCTGCAGTGTCTTTAAACTCAGGTCCCACATTTAGAAGTGACAACTATTTATTTTTCTCAGGGATCTTTGTAATGTTTCCATTTGAAATAAAACACGGGAACATCATGTTATTTACTGTGTTATTGTGTTTCACTTAGAAATTTGTGCAACAGCATGAGGCAGTGACTGATCTAAAATTGTGATTAGTGCTGCATATAAGTATTAATTGTTTAATTGTTTTTGATAGTCTGTTGGATGTGCTATGATTAATGTATTTATAATTTAGTTCGTAAAATTTGAAAAAAAAGTTTTCTGAGCTCAGTCCCAACACAGTCCAGCCAACAGTCAGCAATTCAGTTTGTGAAAATAGATGACAAAAGATCAGCAACTCCTCATGCTTGAGAAGTGAGGATCTTTTCTTTGCATGACTTTAACCATAATATAGATATTAAGATTGGTGATAATTAATTTACTATAGGTCAATTTATCAGTGAATTGTTTCTGCTCTTGCTGTGATTCTTGTAATAGATTAGATTAAGTGTAACTGTAAATTATACTGAGGGCTGGCTGTTTATTACAATTACTTTTTATCTTGTAGAAAATTGACTATTTTTTTCATCAAAGCAGATTTAATAATCAAAATTTTATTATGAAACAACTGTCTCATGAGATCATAATTTTTTTTTTACCCAGACTCCTCTACTCTCAAACAGCAGTGCAGTGAGACAACTCAAGTTTGTCAAAACTTACAATTTCACATCCCTCTCGCCGTCATTTCAGCCCCGCTCTCTTGAACCCTTCCCTCCATCTTCACCTCCCAGGTCTCCCCCCCCAGCCGTTCCCCGCCCGTCTCTCTACCTTCTGCCCCTGTGTGAATATTTCACATTGCTGCTGCCGCTGGTGCGTGATGCGGGGGACTGAGCGTTCATTGTGTGTACGCAGTGTGGGCGCTGAGGTATGTGGCTGCACGGCGTGTGGTGTGTCGTGACAGGCGTGTGGCCGCTGACGCCAGCCGGCCGCCTGCCTGTCTGTGTTTCTGTCTGTTTGGTTACACCTGACCAGCACAGACATCACCATGCCCTCACACACACTCACACACACACACACACACACGGCCTGCAGCACTAGATATGGTGCACAAAGTTAAATCAGGGGTCACCAACTCCCTGCCACTGTTGTCTGCCCACTTGCTCCTTCAGTACATGAGATTGGCACTTGGCTTTGGTGTTCTGCTTATTGTTGAGAGTTGGTGTGATCATATTTTAATCTTTAATTTTTTTAAACTTTGCGAGTACTAAAAAATTGAATGCATACAATTTTAATTACAGCTGTTGCACGTGTAATAATACTTATTTGCAAATTAAATGCCATTGCATTTCCAGCAGATGCACTTATATTTTCTGCTAAACCAAGTGTGTCTAACCCTGCGACAACAGTCACATAGTTGTGGCATTTACTTTATATTGAAACTGCATTATTGAATTTTGTGGTTTTGAAATGTGCTGTGTAGGTCTGTTCTGAAATGCAGTGGAAGGCTGGGTGATATTGCA